TTATGGTCTTTATTTTGAAGTCCGNNCTTTTAGCCTGTGTGAGTCTTTTGCTCTCAGGTGGGTCTCTTATAGAAAGCATATATTTGGGTCCTGTTTTCTTACCCATTCAGCTACTCTATGTCTCTTGATTGGACCATTTATTCCATTTACATTTAAGGTTACTGTTGATATAAACTTATTTAATGCCATTTTCCCCCTTTATGCTGATAAAGTACCTTTCTCACACTATTCTTTTTCTTAGAGCAGTCCTTTTAGCATTTCTTGCAGTGCTGGTTTGGTGGTACTGAATTCCTTTAGACTTTTTTTGTCTGGGAAGCTCTTTATTTCACCTTCAATTTTAAATGATAGCCTTGCTGGATGAAGCAGTCTTGGTTGCAGATTCTTGCTTTTCATTACTTGGAGAACTTCATGCCACTCCTTTCTGGCCTGAAGTGTTTCTCTTGAGAGATCTGATATCAGCTTTATGGGGGTTCCCTTGTAGGTCACTGCTTAGCTCTCTCTTGCAGCCCTTAATATTCTCTCTTTGTCCTTGACATTTGCCGTTATAATTATGATGTGTCTTGGAGTGGGTCTCTTTGGGCTCCTCTTGTTTGGAACCCTCTGTGCTTCCTGAAGTTGTGTGGCTTTCTCCCTTGGCAGCATGGGGAAGTTTTCTGTCATTATTTCCTCCACCAAGTTCTCTACCCCTTGCTCTCTTTCCTCCCCCTCTGACTGTCCTATAATGTGAATGTTGTTTCGCTTTCTGTTGTCCCAAAGCTCCCTTAGACTGTCCTCATGCTTTTTAAGTGTTTTTTCTTTTTGCTGCTCTGAGTGATTTTTTTCTACATTGTCTTCTAAGTCAGTTACTCTCCCCTCTGCTTCATTGAGCCTGCTTTTAATTCCTTCTAGTGTATTCTTGTTATCAGATACAGCATTCTGTATTTCTATCTGATTTTTGTTATGTTACGTATCTCTTTTCATGTTTTCACTAATATCCTCAATCTTACCATCTAGTGCCTTGTTTTTCTCATTAACTTCCTTGAGCATCTTTATAATCATTACTCTGAATTCTGTTTCTGATAACTTGCTTAACACCATCTCATCAAAGTTTTTTTCTGGCAATGTTTTTTTTTTTCCCTTTAATTTGGGGTTCGTTGTCTCCCCATTTTGGTGGCTTTTAGTGTTTGTATCTATATATTAAATGTATTTGTTGTCTCCCAGTCTTACGGGGAGGGATTTTGTATTGTGAGTCCAGTGGAGTCCAGAGGTGTGTTTTCATTATACTTCTGAGTTCTTTGCTTTAGGCATGTCCCTTCTGTGGGTTCTTTGGGCTCTCCTGTTGTAGTTGGATGTGGATTGTTGTTGACCAGTCCTTGGGAGGACTCTCCTCTCAGGTTGGCTGTGTGCCTCAGCACCAAACTCGTTGTGTAAGCTGTTGTACGGGTGCTGCCAGGGCAGGACAATACACAACTAAACGTCCAGGAAACAAGGGGTAACTTACAAAATATCTTGACAGTCACAGTGAAAACAACCCAAGTGAAAATAGAAATGGCAGAGTGAAGGGAGAACACAAATTATAGAGGAAAAAAAAGGTAAAAATAAAAGACAGGAAGAAAAGTAAAGCTTAGAGAGAGAAAAGTATATTGTTAATAATGATGAAAATTTAGAAAAAAATAATAATAAACTAAACTAAAATTTTAAAAAATTGAGAAGCTCCTGGGAGATAAAAGGGGCAGAGAAAAGATTCTGAACGAAGGGCCAGCAAAAAATTAAGGGAAAGAATAGGAATAGGATAATAGTTGAAAATGAAAACTAAAAATACATTAAAGAGAGTAAGAGAAATTAACAAACAAAAAGACAGGAAGACAGAAGGGAGGAAAATAAAAGAAAGAAGGAAAAGAAAAAAGAAGGAAAAAAAGTTATGCCAATGGATCTAGAGGAGAGAGAGAGAGATAAGACCCAGGCAGGGAGGGAGTCCGGTAAGAGATTTGGGGGAAACTATAGAGAAAAGCAGTAAACTTGTTGGATATAGTGATAATGTCTCAGGAATTAAGCAGGAATATCAAGAAAGTCTTGATAGTAGAAGCAAAGATAAAACAAAACGAAGCAAATAAACAAAACAAAACAGAGAAACAAAACCAAAAGCAAGCTAAGCAAAAGGAAATTCTTTAAAAAAGAAAAAAAAGAAAAAGTTAATTTAAAAATTTAAAAAATTAAAAAAATAAATTATAAAATTTAAAAAGAAAAAATAATAATTTTTTTCCTTTCTCTTCTTCCTAAGGAAAAAAAGAAATGGGGAAAAAAAAAAAAAAAGAGTCAATCAGGCAAGTTTCTTCTGGGCAGCTTATGTTGTCTGTGAGTCAGTTTTGTGAGCTGATTTCCATTGTCCTGGGAGGTGCTTGTGTATCACCCACTGTGAGGAGCCGTCTAGGTTTGGCTCTGGTGTCCTTAGATAGTTGATCTGAGGCTCTCCGTGGGCCACCTCCTCTTGTCAGCTATTTTGCAACCTTGTAGTTGCCTGGTCTTGCTCCAGAGCCTTCTGTAGAGTCTTCAGGGTGCAGGGTGGCTAGTGTAGCCCAGGGTGTCACTCCCCTTAGAGGTGTCGCTGTCAGGCGCTCCTCTGCAGGAGTTAGTCTCTGCTCCACCGCCAGCTCCTCAGTCCCTACCCTCTCCTCTGATCCTAGTTCCCCAGGCTCTGGCCTGCTGCAGCTTCAGATTGATTTCCGCCTGTTGCCTCTTCTGTCTGGGCCGTTTCAGCAGCCAGGGCCCAGTGAGTTGGATTAAGAACACATTCCAGTGAGCCCTTTGCCTGCCCAGCCCCCAGCAGGGTTTTCAGCGTTTCCTCCAGCCCCCAAACAACAGTCCCTGAGAGTCTTATTCTTGTGATGTCCTCCTGTGAGCTGCTCCCCTTTCCCCTCAGGACTGTGCCTTGCGGGTGATGTGGGGCCTCAGTGAGCGGGACCCGCCCCTTTCCTGTTGGGGGCGGGGCTCCCGGCTGCAGGAGAGGCCCGTGGGCTCCGCCCCTCCCTGCTCAGCTCTGGTTGGCTGGTCCCTCCAGGCCCGCCCCTGAGATCGTCTACTGTGCAGAGCTCAACCCCAGCATCCGCTGGTCTGTGCGCAGTGCACCCCGGGAAGGTGGGAGCCAGTTCCACGATCAGACTCACAAACGCCCAAAGCAACGCACAGGCAGAGAGTCCGCCCTGCAGGGTCCCACCGTCCGCGTGCCAAGGCCCCCAGCGGAGGGGACGCACAGTCAGCTCCACGCAGCTCCCTGCATCATAGGTCTCAGCAAAGCTCAGGCGGCTTCACACGCCATCATGGCATCCTCAGGGCTGGTCACAGATCCCAGACTCTCCGCACTGGGAGCTCAGGGCGGGAGGGCTTCTCCCCTCCCCCGCGCCATGCAGGTTCAGTGCTTTCTGGGGCTCAACACAGTGCCTTATGGGGGCAGAGGGTCCCCGTGTGCGGCTGCTCAGTGCACCTCTGGTTCTTTACTACCAGGGTGCCACATGCTTTGGCACAGCCTTTCCTATCGGCAGCCTGAGTGTAAGATGCCGATCCTGGCCACCATGAGAAGCTTTGTTTCCTAGGAAGGTGCCGTCCCCTCCTCAGGGACACCCTGCTGCCCTTGGTCGCTCTGCGCTCCGCAGGGCGCTCCTGCCCCTCTCCTGCGCTTGGGGTGTGAGATCCCTGCTTGGATGCCCGTCCGCCCTCCCGAAGGGGAGGGAACTTTTCAGCCTCCAAAGCCTTGGGGCTCAGAGCCCGGCATAGGCTTCAGGGGAGGACTCCCCCTTCCTACGCCCCCCCCTTTACCAGACTCTATGATGTTTCTTCAGTGCACCCCACTTGCAATATGTCCACTCACGTATGTTTCTCTATAGTTTTTCCAAGCTGGTTATGCAGTATTTTAGGAGTAAATCGAGTCTGTGGCTGGGAGCAGGGGCGGGGCGCTCTGCTTCTCACAGTGCTGCCATCCTCCCACTCTCCTCTTTTATTACTTTTTAAAAATATATTTTTATTGATTTCAGAGAGAGGAAGGGAGAGGGAGAGAGATAGAAACATCAGTGATGAGAGTCCTGGGCTATACTTTTATGTGACTGGCCACACGGTAGGTTTGCTTACACTAGCATCACCACAGGCATGTGAGGAATACGTTGTGCTGCAGTGTTACAGTGGGTGTGGTGTTGGTAGGTGATGGCACTTTTTTACCTCCATTATAATCTTAATGGGACCACCAAGTTATATACAGTCAGTTATTGACCAAAATGTTGTGCGGTGCATGACTATAATATGATATATTTAATCAGTTCTCTATTATTGGACAACTGTGTTTGTTTCCAGCTTTTCTCCTGTCGTATTACAATTCTTTCTTTTTAATCCTCACCCAAGGATATTTTTTCTGTTGCATTTCAGAGGGGGGGGAGAACTGTCAATGTGATAGAGACACATCGATTGGTTGCCTCTTGCACACACCCCAACCCTGACCCGGGCTGGGGATCGAGTCTGCAACCGAGGTCCGTGCCCTTGACTGGAACTGAACCCGAGACCCTTCAGTCCACAGGTCGACACCCTAACCACCGAGTCAAACCGGCCAGCGCGTATTGAAATCCTTGACTGTTGATATTGAGATACAGTGATGCTTCAAAAAGAACTCATGTTTTCCTTCTTCTAAAGATAATGTGTGTGTGCCAGCTTACATAAACCTTTACTTTGAACTTCTTAGTTGCCTTATTTTGTTCTTTTGTTCATTTGTTGTTTAACCTCACTACTGTTAGTTGGAACTGCTTTGAAATTTTTTGAATTTCCTTTTGTAAAGTTAAGATTTTTCTATAAGGATATATTTCTTTCTTCTTAGCTTTTCAAAATTCTTATCTCTCAAACACATTTGTCTTTCTTCAGAAGTGACAGTACAATTGAAAATTTGTGATAATGAGAATTTATAATTGAGGATTGAGGTTGTCAGTCTGAGGATGGTTGTATGTCTTGAGCCAAATGGTCTGATTGATCTCTTGTTTCCTTAGCCCTGGTCCTCTTTGCTCAGGAACTGGAATAGTCTTGCTGTAACTCATCCTGGTTACATGGCTTTCCTGACATATGATGAAGTAAAAGCTCGGCTCCAGAAATTCATTCACAAACCTGGAAGGTCAGTGCCATGAATCAAACAGGCTTCTTCTCCTGAATTTTATTTTCTTATGACCTTTGTTAAAATATAGGAAACATGGTATCTGTTTTTATTTGTTATTTTTAAATTTTTTTAAATCCTCACCTGAGGATATTTTTTTCCATTGCTTTTCAGAGATAGTGGAAAGGAGGGAGAGAGGAAGGAGGGGGAAGAGAGAGAGAGAGAGAGAGAGAGAGGGAGAGAGAGAGAGAGAAATGTAGATGTGAGAGAGACACATCAGTTGGTTGCCTCCCACATACACCCTGATCCCTACCTGGGCAGGGGATCAAGCCTGTAACCAAGGTATATGCCCTTGACCGTAATTGAACCGGAGACCCTTCAGCCCACCGGTCAACAACTACTGAGCCAAACTGGCTAGGGCATGATCTTTGATTAGTTGCCCTGTGGCCATGTTTCTGCAATAGGATTGATGCCTGTTTATCAGAAGAATTGACTCATTCAGATCTGATGATTTGATAAATGTTTTTAAGAACCACTTCAGAATTGGGCTTATATGTCTTCTGCTTTTTTTTTGGTCAGGAGTCATCGAAGACTCTATTATTGATGGTCCTTTTGATTTTTGTCCTTGCCTTATTTTCTGCCCTAATAGGGACTTATTATGTATAAAGATTCTGTTTATTTCTATTTTCAGTTATATTTTCCGGCTGAGCTGTACTCGTCTGGGTCAGTGGGCTATTGGGTATGTCACTGCTGATGGGAACATTCTTCAGACAATCCCTCACAATAAACCTCTCTTCCAAGCACTGATTGATGGCTTCAGGGAAGGCTTGTGAGTACCTACTATTTACCATCTGCTAGAGTCTAGGAACTGAGGGGCTGTAACACTTCATCATTAATGACTTTAGTTCAGGTTCCTTCTATAGATGAAGATTCAGGAAACATTTTAACAGCTTATATTGTTGTAACCTTCAGGTTCTGTAGAATTCCTTGTTTATTTAAAAGGAATTCCTTAGGTGAAATTTTTGTGTACTGCTTCACTTATTACTATGAGTAAACTTTATCTTTTTCCTTTTCCAGATGTTAACTTATTTTCAAGTTCATGTTAGATTTAAAATTATACCAATTAGTAGAAAATGTTGCCAGTTATTTAACCACCCAGCAGTAGAGTGATTAGATGTTTGCTCCTAATGACAGCTGGCTTAGGGGCCTTTATCCTGACTTCACTGTGGGTCAGCAGCATTTCTTCAGGCTTTGGGCTTTTGTAATGTATGCTAATATTTATGACTAAGTTCTTATTTATTCCAGAATTGCTATTCCTTTGGGAATTCAAATTGATTATAATTTGGTAAGCACTGAAAGTACTAACAGTTGACCGGGTATCAGAAAACCACTTGTATTTTAAGGGGATTAGGAAAATCCATTTCCATTATGCATCATCTACAGTAGCACTGGGGCTTCCCCAGATGTCAGAGCAGTTTGATGCTAGAAGCTTCCTGGTAGATGATCTCAAGTGGCTTAATTTGCTTCTTGTTACATTTCTTTTAAATTAGTGTCTCTCAGTATTAACTCTGTAAACGAGTATTTTAGGTGTTTGGTCAAAAGTAAATGCAGTTTAAATTTAAAATTTATACTTTGTGGCCATTCATAGATTAAAATAGGAGTTGGCAAACTGGCACATAGGCTAGCTGCTTTACATCTAAGATAGTTTTTTCTTTTTAAAGGGTTGTTTTTTAAAAAACAAATTAAAGAATATGTGACTTAGACTTTATGGTTTACAGGGTCTAAACTATTTACTCTTAGGCCCTTTACAGAAAGTTTATCAACTCCTGATTAAAAGACGGAGCAATGTGCCCTGGAGAAAGAGTATCAGTGTTAGGAAACTATCTTCTTGGAACTGTTCTGTGTTCTTTATTTTTTTTTTAAATATTAGTAAGATTTATCTTTGCACTTTTGCAAAGTTGCCCTTTTACAACAAGGGGATTCCTAGATACCATTTGTCTGTGTTAGCAAGCAGCGATAAATTGGCTTCAATACAATCCCAAGGTTGCTTACTCTTAATACAGCTATTTGTTTCCTGATGGACGGAATCAGAATCCCGATCTGACAGGTTTATGTGAACCAACTCCCCAAGACCACATCAAAGTGACCCAGGTGAGTTTTGTTTTACATTATAACCATATCAGTAGAGCCATGCTTTTGTATGGACTTAATAGGACTGACAATAGAATTGTATTAAGCATTGGAACACTGAAATTTTAAATCATTGACCGGATTTAGTGAATTTATGTTTCGTGTGGTTTCTTTTTCAACCATGCACCTTAAAATAGGACCAAGACTAGGTGATTTCTGTGTTATGGGACAACATTGACCACTGTTGTGAAACTTCTGTTGCTTTGTGGTGAAACTTTATACAAGCAAAATCTGTATAGATAGTAATGGTCGTTAACATTTTCATTTTTAGCATTTATGGTTGCATTCATTCATTCATTCAACAAATATCTGAAATAGACTGAGTAATAATTGTGTTTGTGTTTTTTTAATTAAAGGAACAATATGAATTATACTGTGAGATGGGCTCCACGTTCCAGCTGTGTAAAATATGTGCTGAAAATGATAAGGATGTAAAGATTGAGCCCTGTGGACACCTCATGTGCACATCCTGTCTTACCTCCTGGCAGGTATGGATACCAGTGATGCATTTTCTCAGCTGTATAATCACTCTGAAGAATTGGGGATTGTATATAAAGGATGGCCTGGTTTGCGGGGTAGATTTTAAACTTTTTATTTCTTTTTTCATCTCTAGGAAATGTATTTCCTAGTGGATGAATATTTTAACTACTTGCAGATGTGCCTGTTACCATCTCCTGTTTCTTCTACAGGAATCAGAAGGCCAGGGCTGCCCTTTTTGCCGATGTGAAATTAAAGGTACTGAGCCCATTGTGGTAGATCCATTTGATCCTAGAGGAAGTGGCAGCCTATTGAGGCAAGGAGCAGAGGGAGCTCCTTCCCCAAATTATGATGATGATGATGATGAACGAGCTGATGATTCTCTCTTTATGATGAAGGAATTAGCTGGTGCCAAGGTAAGTCTGCAATTTAAGAGACGGTGGCAAACTCCACTGTGAGTTGTATTCTAAAACTATATAGAGCACTTAATGACATCCAAACTATGAGGAGTAGTAATGGCTAATACTTACTGAGCATCTAATGTCAGAGATACCATACTAAACACTTTCCTTATTTTAACTCATGTAACCCTATAATTAGGTATTATTATTATCCTCATTTAACAGATGAAGAAACTGAGGCACAGAGAGGTTAAGGAATTTGCTGAAGGTGACACAGGTAGCAAGTTGAACCAGAATCTGTGACCAGTCATTTTGGCTTCAAGGCCCATGTTCTTACTATCTATATCCTAAAACTGTGCATTACCCATATAGCTTGGTGGAGAAAATGAGGGAGAATAAAATAATTGGACCGTATTTTGCTTATGTGAATAGAATATGTTGTTGTTATCTTTTCTCTAATGGAATCTTGGCATTACAAAGTTAGGTTGTATGGGGGAAAAGGATTCATTGTTAATAACCAAATAAATGGCAACTGATGATGCCATAAAGTGACTGGAGGATGGTAGGAGGTCCATGTAGAAACTAAACAAACTAGAAAGGCTCTAGTAAAGGTAGGAGAGATGAAGTCTAGGAAAGGATGTGGTCAAATTCTACTACCTCAGATGGTAGGATAAACGGGTTTATTTTCTAAATCTTAGCAATCGGTCAGCCTGTGAAGATTTTAGTAAATAGTGGGCAAGCAGAAGATTCTAATAGGCTACACACTGTCTAGTCTAGAAGGTTACCAATTTGTGGGGTGCATTTCCTTGGTACAAAAGAAGATTTCTTTTATATCAGCACCTGACTCCCAGAACATAGTAGGTGCTCAATAAATATTGAAAGACTGAATTTTATCTCTTAAGTGACTATATCCAAGAGAGACGAAGATAGTGGAGGAGTAGGTGGATCTTTCTCCCACTTCTTCCCAGAATCTAATTGGAATTAAAACTAAATTGGGGAATATTCACACTGAAATACCAGCTGAAGACTGGCTGAAGAGGAGACTTAAAAAAAAAATGTTTTTATTGATTTCAGAGAGAGGAAAGGAGAGGGGGAGAGAGAGAAACATCAATGATGAGAGAGAATCATTGATCGGCTGCCTCCTGCACACCCCGTGCTGGGGATCAAGCCCACAACCTGGGCATGTGCCCTCACCAGGAATGGAACCGTGACCTCCAAGTTCCTGGGTGGGCACTCAACAACTGAGCCACACCGCTTGATGAAGAGGAGACTTTTAAACAAGGAAGGGCAAAAATCACCTTGAGACTGGTAGGAAGGGTGGGGATGCGAGAGGCCCTGGCCCAGCTCTCGGGAGCAGTGGACCAAAGGTGAGGAGGGTTCCCCTAGAGAGGAGAGAGGCCTAGACCCCAGGCAGGGTTCTCCATCCCAGACAGCCAGAGCCATGAACAGCCACCCACACAGCAACCAGCATTGGGGCTTTTATCAGCCAGGGAGCTGAGCCGCCTGGAAACAAAGCCACTTGTTTTAAAGGGCTAGCGCACAGGATTTTCGCAGACATTCACCCTAGGTTTCTACAGAGAGATGGTGGTGCAGACTGGAGTTGCCTGAAAAGAGACGGGTGGAAGGAGTTGGGGAGAGTCATGAGGAGGGTGGCTGCCAGGATACCTATGCTGAGCCATCTTTCACCCTCAATATCACAGCAGCCATTTTTCCTGAGAGGCACTAGCCCCTCCCAACAGCAGAAGCCTGGGGAAAGGCAAATACCCCATTCTTTGGGATACAGCTCACCCCACCCTAAGGAATCCTTTATGCCCCACTGTGCATCTCAATCCCTGTTGAGAAGGCAGCAGTCTCAGGAAGTGTTGGGCTGGATCTGGGGCAGGAACATTTCCCCCACATTCATGGGAACCTGGCTGGTGCTTCCCTCTCACTGAAGAGCTGATAGAAACTCCTGGCTTCTGACATACTGGATTGGCCTGCCTAAAAGGGGCTCCTCTGCCCCACAAAGGACAGAGAAATAGTTTGTGAACACAGTCACCATCTTCCCTGAAGTCTGAAAGTTTGCTGACACATCTTTGGGTCCCATGCTGCTAAAAAAAACAACAAAAAACGGCCTAGGAGCTCAGCTTGGCCCCTCCAGTGAATAGCCAAGCCCAGTGGTGGCTACAAGCTGTGGATCACTTGAAGCTTTGAACAGGGCACCAAGAGCTAAACTTGGTCAGCTTCTGACATTGGCTAGCACAAAAGTACCTCCTGGGAGGACCGAAATCAGCATTCAAAACAGCCACAGACAACATAAGAGCAGAATCCAAATGGAAATGCTAGTGGGCACTAAAATCTGCCGAGATGAACTTCACTTGTTTGGTATTATTGTTTTTGGTTTTTCTTTTATCTTTTCCTTTTTATTACTTTGGTATTAGTATTATTGTTATTATTTTTCTCATTTCTCTCGTTTCTTTCATATCTTTTATTTGCCTTTCCTTTTATTACTCTATGTGTTTTCTTTCTTTCATTTTATCTTTCTTTTCTTTTTACCTTTCCATAACTTTTTCTTTTTCATCTTTTCTTTTTTACTATTTTCCTTTATCTACTCTTTATTCTTACTTTTTTCTCACGTCTTTCTTTTTAGAATCTTTTTTCTTCCCAATTTCTGTTTTATTTTTATTTTTTATTTTTCATTTATTCTTGTTCTCTTTTCTCTCTCCTAATTCTCTTTTCTTTGGTGGTTGTTTTTGCTGTTGTTGTCAAGTTCTTTTGTATGTTTTCTTTGTTTCCTGTTTTTTGTGTTTTTTTTATGTGTGTGGGGTTTTTTTGCTTGTTAGTTTGTTTTGGGTTTTTTTTTTGCTTTGTTTTGTCCTGTCAACACTTGTACAACAGCTTTCATGATGTGATGGGGGTTGAACCTTATAGCCAGCCTGAGAAGAGACCCCACCCACAGCAGGACAATAACAGTCAAGACCCAGTTACAACAGGAGAGCCCAAATACCCCACAAAAGGGTCAGTCCTAAAGCATCTAGCTCAGGAGTTCACGGAGACCACACAATGGGGTCCCATGGGACATTTACTACAAAAGGCCACCCCATGAAGACTGGGAGTCCTAGCAGGTATATCTAATATATAGAAACAAACACAGAGACAACTAAAATGAGAAGACAAGGAAACAACCCCCAAATTAAAGAAAAGGAGGAAGCTCCAGAAAAAGATCTAAATGAGATGGAGGTAATCAATTTATCAGACATAGAGTTTAGAGTAATGTTTATAAGGATGGTCAAGAAACTTAGTGAGAACTACAGGGAACTTAATGGGAACTACAAGAGACTTAGTGGGAACTATATCAACATGAAAAAGGACATAGAAATCACGAATAAGAACCAGTCATTAATGACGAATACTATATCTGACATCAAGAATATGCTGGAAGGAGTTAAAAGCAGGCTTGATGAAGCGGAGGGTCGAAGAGAAGGTAGAAAAAAACAATTAGAGCAGCAAAAAGAAAAAACACTTAAAAGGCATGAGGAGAGTTTAAAGGAACTTTGGGACAACATGAAACATTTCAACATCTGCATCATAGTAGTACTAGAGGGAGAAGAAAGTGAGCAAGGGATAGAGAATCTGTCTGAAAAAATAATGACAGAGCCCTGGCTGTTGTGGCTCAGTGGTTGCAGAGTCAGTCTACACACCGAAGGGTCGCAAGTTTGTTTAACTATCAAGGGCATGTACCTAGATTGCAGGTTCCATCCCAGCCCCAGTCAGGGCAAATGAGGGAGGCAACCAATCAAGGTGTCTCTCTCACATAGATATTTCTCTCTCGCCCTCTCCCTCTCCCTCTCCCTCTCCCTCCTTTCTTCCCTTCCACTCTATCTAAAATCAATGGAAAGAATATCCTCGGGTGACAATAAAAAAAAAAAAAGTACAAAAAGACCCACACTAAAACACATATTTAAAATGACAAACATTAAAGACAGAGAAAATCTTAAGGGCAGTGAGAGAGAGACAGTTAGTTACCTGCAAGGGAGCTCCTATAAGACTGTCAGCTGATTTCTCAACAGAAACACTTCAGGCCAGAAGGGAGTGGCATGAAGTTTGCAAAGTAATGAAAAGCAAAGATCTGAAACCAAGACAATCCAGCAAGGCTCTCATTCAAAATTGAAGGTGAAATAAAGACATTCCCAGACCAGAAAAAAAGGGCTAAAATAGTTTATTACCACCAAACCAGCATTGTAAGAAATGCTAAAAAGACTGTTGGAAGAAGAAGAAATAGAGAGGGACATAGGCATGAAGAATAAAAATGGCAATAAATAAGTACCTATCAATAATAATCTTAAATGTAAATGAATTAAATGCACCCATCAAAAGGCATAGGGCAGCTGAATGGATAACAAAACATGACCCATATATATGCTGTCTACCCGAGACCCACCTCAGAACAAAAGACTCACACGAGATGAAAGTGAAGGGATAGCAAAAAAATTTCCATGCAAATGGAAATGAAAAAAAAAAAGGGATAGCAATACTCACATCTGACAAAATTGACTTCAAAACAAAGGTCATAAGTAGAAATAGAGAGGGTCACTACATAATACTAAAGGGATCATTCCAACTAGAGAGTATAACCCTCGTAAACATATTTGCACCCTATACAGGTGAACCTAAATATATTTAAAAACTGGAGGGTTATAAAGGAGAGGTTGACAGCAATAAAGTCATAGAAGGGGACTTTACACCCCACTGACATCACTGATAGATTTTCCAGACCAAAAATCCATAAGGAAACAGTGACCTTAAACAACACACTAGATCAGATGGATTTAATTTATATTTACAGGACATTTTATCCCGAAGCTGCAAAATATACATTCTTCTCAAATGCACATGGAACATTCTCAAAGACAGACCACATGCCAGGACACAAACTAAGTCTCTACAAATTCAAGAAGATTGAAATCATATCAAGCATCTTCTTAGATCACAATGGTATGAAACTAGAAATGAACTACAATAAAAAACTCAAAAAC